CAGAGCATCTGCAGCAGAGGCAAAACCAGCACCAGCATTTTCCACACCAATTCAGTCTTTAACCACCAGCTCATCCTTCCTCTCCCCATTCCCTGAGCCATTCTTCCACTCTCCCAGGCCAGGAATTCCAATGCTCACCTCATCCCAGAGGATTCCAGTGCCTTTATCTGAGTACAGCCATTCTCATGCACACCGGCATCTGCACAACTGCTCCCAGGGTGAGAAATATTCCAAAACACGCCCCCTGCAAGGGGAGAAACATCTGCCCCCCTCTTTTCTCCTACATGTGTATTTTGCATCTGTAAACCATAAACATATGATAAAAGCACTGCAAACCTCGGTGGAGCTCGGAGGCAAAACCGATCTGTTTTGCTCTGCCAGTTTGAAAATGGTTTTCTTGATGAAACTCATGAGTCTGCTGGAGACTGAGACACAGATGGATGAGCTGAGCATATGATAAACCTGCTGCATGAGTTTGTAGTTAATTGCCCATCATCTTTTTTGTCTCCCCATAAAACATTTCACGCCCACCTCGCACAGTAAAGGTAACCCGAGTGTCACAAACCATTTGTCTCCTGAGCTTTCCCTGCTGCACTCCCCGGGCTCTCGTGGTGAGAGAGCCGTGGAGACAAGACAAATCTGCTGAGCCCTTCTACAGATGCAGCACGCTGCATCTTTTATCAAATGATCTCCATTCTCTAATGAGAAGGAACACCTCCCCGAGTCATTTGCATGCTAATATCTTTATTTCTAAAACAATAAGCAGCCTGGGACTCCCTGAGCCGCCAGTCAGCACAGACACTGCATTTCCATGAGAGAGCCCAAGAAACCAAATCCCTTCCCCTGGGCACCGAGGGGACTTTGGGCTGGGCACAAAGAGGGGCAGAGGGGTGCAGGACAGGAATCATTCCCTGGGTGGGGAACCCATCACTGCTGGGCTGTGCAGGGCCAGGAGCTGGACTTGGTGATCCCTGGGAGTTCCTTCCAACTCAGGGAATTCCTTGAATCTCACACTGCTCTGGGGTGGAAGGACATTAAAGATGATTTGTTCCACCCCTGTCCCAGGTGTTCCAAGCCCCAGTGTCCAACCTTGGGCACTGCCAGGGATCCAGGGGCAGCCACAGCTTCTGGGATGAGGTGAGCAACTGCATTGGAATTCCTGGCCTGGGAGAGTGGAAGAATGGCTCAGGGAATGGGGAGAGGAAGGATGAGCTGGTGGTTAAAGACTGAATTGGTGTGGAAAATGCTGGTGCTGGTTTTGCCTCTGCTGCAGATGCTCTGAGTGACCCCAGGTCAGTCACCTGGGGTGGCTGTAACTCAGTTTTGTTCTGTAAAGTCACAGAATCAGGGAATGGTTTGGGTTGGAAGGACCTTAAATCCCACCCAGTGCCACCCCTGCCATGGCAGGGACACCTCCCACTGTCCCAAATCCCAATGTCCAGCCTGGCCTTGGGCACTGCCAGGGATCCAGGGGCAGCCACAGCTGCTCTGGGCACCCTGTGCCAGCCCTGCAGGGAACGATTTCACCCCAACATTTAATCTAAACCTACCACTCTCAGCTTTAAACCATCCCCCCTTTCCTGTCCCTCCACACTTTTGTAAGAAGCCCCTCTCCATCTTCCCTGGGTTTCTCCATTCTTTCTTGAATCATTTTTGATATCCTGCCCTGCCTTCAGAGCTCCTGCTGGGGGCCAGGCAGGTGAGGCTGGTGCTGCAGGTGCCCCCAGAGCTCCTCACACCTGTGGGTGCTTTCCTCTCTCCTTTTTTATTTCCACTGGGGGATAAAAGCTTGCAGGAGCAGGTCATTTCAGGGCACCAGTGACAAAGACAAAACACTGTCGACACCAGCTCTGGACCCACCCCCAAAAAGCTCCCGTGGTGTTTTCCTGGCTGCTCCTCCCTGCCACAGCTCGGAGGCAAACAGTGTCACTCTGCCCTGGTGTTGGGACTTTTCCTGCCTCCCAACATCTCTGCTCATCTGAGCTGAGTGATTCTGCTGGGCAGCAGTCACTGAGCAAAGGGAAAAGAGAAGAAAAAAGAAATAAATAAAATCTTTCTTCCACGGAGTCAATTCAAAGCAAATGGAAACGTTTCCTCCATCAGAGCAGCGCTGCCAAAGCCTGCAGTGGTGGCAGAACTTCTGGATCACATTTTATCTTCTTTTTACCAGGGTCAGGATTAAATGAGCAAGATGGTATTTCTTGTTCAGATTCAGATGTTTATTAATTCTTATCTATGTTACAGTCTCACAAACCCTGAATTCCACAGCACCTCAAGCTAACAAGCTAAAAAAGGGAGCCCTGTCTCTCCCTATAAGGCCTTTTAAGGGTAAACTGATCAATTAAGAAATGACACCTAAATTATCTTTACTTTTAACCCAATAACCAATTACCCATGACCTGCAATGTGGACTTTTCTACCCAATTACAAAATACCACCCAAACCCATGAAGAAGGGGAAAAAGAAAGACAAAACCTCTGCTCTAAAACCTCCATCTTGCTATATATATATTACTGTATTCTAAAAACCTTAAAATTTAGATTTTCCACCGTGTGGTATTACACACTTCTATTCAAAGTGCACACCCATAATTCCAATTCTATCACTCAATTTTGGAAGCTTCTCCACAGCCTCAAGTCAGAAGCAGAGTTCTCCTGGGGGTCAGTGCCTGTCAGCACAGAAAATCTCAAATTCTCATTTTCCAAGGTCCCAACACTTCCCAGGAAACTTTTCCTCAGCAATGGAACCTTGGAGGAGGAAGGAGCAAAGCCCAATAGGCAGTGAAGGGAAATAACTCCACTTCCCCAGCTCATGGCCCTGATTTTCAGCATTGAACTCTCCAGCATAGAGATGTTCCCTGTCCCCTCAGGGCATGGATTTGCTTTCCCTGCCAGCACAGGGCTCCTTGCTCTTGAAAAGCTGCTGGGACTCTGCTGAACACCTCATTTTGGGATTTGCTGAATAGCAGCAGAAACAGCTCAGGGAAGAGGAACAAACTCCCCCAAAATCACCGTGCAGCCTCTGCTGAGGCATCAACAACAACACAGATAACAGAACTGGGACCTGGATTTATTATATTGATTATATTTTGTTATATAATAAAATATATTTTATTTTGTTTGGCAGCCCTCCAGAGGGAATCACACAAAGTCTTCACCTTGCTAATGAAGGTGGAAATTTTTTACATCTGTGCATGCAGGCACATCTGGGTGATTTTGGTTGTGTGTTCATGGGTTTGTGTCCTCACATCTCTCAGTACATTAAAACTGCATGTTTGCACTGCCCAGTTGGAATTTCACCTCTTTTAGCCTAAAATGCACTTTTACTCTATGAAAATATAGAAGAATACTATACTAAGGTAAAAATTGCATTTATCTAAGACTGTGACTATTATAAGCACTTGAGGAGTGATGTAAATTATTAAAACCACTCCTGTCCTGATATAAGGTCAAGAACTGAAATCATCTTGTTAGCAAGGAATTGGGAAGCCTCTCTCTCCCCCAGGTTTCTGTGGAAGTGCTTCAGAGATGCCCATTTTTCCCCATGGACATGAGAAGAACCATTCCACACGCTCTGTTTTTCTCTCTGACTGCATTAAAACAAACACTCCACGCAGGGAAATTTTCCCTATCTCTTTCAAAAGGCTGCCACCATATGGGGGATTGGTTTTAATACAAGGTTCACTTTGGGGTTTTGCAGGTAGAGCTTGCTGGAGCCTCAGCTCAGCCTCGGGAAGGAGAGGTCCAGGAGGGAAATAAGCCTGGGAATTGTGACACAGCAGCAGCTCTGTCCCACGAAGGGCTGGGCCTTCCTTCCCCTTGAAAAATCTGCATTTACTGCTGAACACTGCCTTGTTTTCACTCACATTTCATCCACCCGTGGCACACTCAGCTCTGCAGATCTGGAGCTGCATCATTCCAGTTCTGCCTGAGGTGAAGGATCCTTGGCTCTGCTCCCTCATCCTGTCACCTGCCCATGGCAGGGGTGGGACCAGATCACCTGTGAGGTCTCTTCCAACCCAATCCATTGGGCCACAGTTATCCTATGGAAAAATGAGCTCACCTGCCCAGGAGGAGTGTGAGGACACCCTGGATCCAGAGGAATGGCATTCCCAGTCCAGGGAGAGCAGTGGGTGAGCAGTGAAAGCTCTGACTCTGAGAATAAACGTGATCCAAGGTAAAACACAACGTCTGTCTGTGGGAATTAAGAATTAAGAGAATGAAAATGAGAGCAGGTGAAAGGAGGGAAGCATAAAGCCTTTTGTATCATTAGAATTTCTCCACCACATCTGACACTACTCCACACTGGAGCACATCAGCTGAAGAACAGGACTTGAATTTGATAAATAAAATAAATCCCCATCTCTCCGTGGAACAGAGCAAGCCAGAGGTTCTTCCTATCAAGCTATAAATGTCATGTGAAGATCAAGTTCCCATCTCACACAAGTGTTTGTTCAACAAAGCACGGCAGGGCCTTCCCAGGGAGCTTAAACAGAGCAAGAACCTGCAAATAATTCTGCTCTCAAATTTAATTCTGCTTGCAGACAGGGCAGTGCCACAACCCTTCCCTTGTCAGCCAAGCCCAGAGCATTGCTGAGGCCCAGAGCTGGAGCTGCCACCTGAGCCAGGTCATGATTTCCAGGATCATTGCCAGGATCATTCACTTCCAGGATCATTCATTTCCAGGATCATTCATTTCCAGGATCATTTTCCCTGCAGATCACAGCCCTGTGCTGGGCAGGGCACACCTGGGGGCTCTGGGTTTGCAGATCCTGGCTTTGGAATAAGAATTGCCAGAGTACATTGAGGCAGAGTGTGAGAGACCCAAATTCTGCAGGGTCAGGCCAGCAATTCTTGTGCAAAGCAAGGATCCATCAATTTTTCCATACAGGCACCATGGAAGGAATAGAGGGAGGGAATTGAGGAAGCAAAGCCTTTGGGAATCCATTTCTCTTCTGTACCATTCTCCCAAGAGAGTCACTCCAATGTTCAGAGAGTGATGAGGAGCATGGGGTTTGAGGCAGGAGCGTGGGCAAAAACAGGAATTGGCCTCACAGTGAGGGAAAAGGGGGCTCACATCACCCCTGGGACTATTCTGGATGCAGAGTGATCACACCAGGATAAAAATGATGCCTTCATCTGAAAAATTCATTCCTTGGGCCACAATTATATGAATAGGAAGGAATTTTTTTCCTGCCCCTTTCTTGGCCCAGCAAACTGTTGGAAATAAAGTGTTGCAGCTCTTCCTGGGGATCCCTCTAGCTCTAAATTCATATTGGAGGAGCTATTTCTGTGATTGTATGGAAAAGCATTTCCTGTACACTGGAATTGATCTTTATTGATCCTCACAGCTGAGAACATGGCCCTGTTCTCCCTCAGGTCCTTTTCCCTTCCTGCCACACACACCCCTGGATGTTTCTGTCCACAGCAGAAACCTGCCTGGCCCTCTCAAAGGTCACTGGGATTCCCATCAACAATGATATCCCAACCTGAGGCTTTATCTGCCTCATAAATTCAATTTTTCCTTTCCTAGCAGATGTGGAGCTTGTGTGCAGTCCTACTCTGGAACAGAAGACAATAAAAGTAACAAATTCAATGTATTCAGCTCATTTTACCTGGATCTGGCTCCAGCAGTTCCCTTAAAGCCCGGTGCTGTTGGAACACTCTGCTGGTGCCTGCACTGCAGTCAGGGGGTAAAAAGGGAGGGGAAAACAAGGAAAAGAGGTGTTGTTTTTACCAGTTCCCAAGGAATGAGCCGAGAGTGCACAGCTCCATGCTGAACTCGGGGATACAGAGCTGTGAAACACCTGGGCTCTCAAACTCCTGCCTTTTCCTCACACACAAATGAGGATTTTACCACAGAGCAGCTCCTGATGCCAAGGAAACTGGGAAGATAAGGAGTGAGAGGAAAAGTTATTACATTGAAAATGTTATCATTAGCAAGAACAGGTTTAAAAAAAAAAACAAACCCATCATGAACTATTGCCTGCCACGTTCCCTTCCCACTGCCCTGGGAACCTGCAATTATTCAGGATGGTCCCAGTGGCTGTGGAGCTTAAATGAGGTTTTATCTCCAGTAAGTGTTTATTTCACTCTCCATAAAGTAAAAGGCACCACAGTTTAGAAATAATGCATTCCCAGCCCTGGGTATTATGGGGAACCCATTATTTTTATTGCCTGCTGTGTAAAGAATATTTCATATTTAGGCAACGGACCTGTTCCCAAATAAATAAGGAGGTAGGAGCTGCATAAAAGCCTTGGTGCAAAATACCCATACAATTATGAGCCAGGCAATGCAGGAGTACATTGTACCTGCTCCCAGAAGTTTTATAGCCCTGAGAACAATCCCTTATTTGCATGTGCAATTACTGCAATTGCATTTGCAATTACATCAATTGTCCAATTACATCAGCTGTGTTTCCAATGAGCTAAAAGAAAAAAAAATAAAAATAAAGAACACATTACTCTTTGCTGTAATAAAAATGTGATTTGCATCCACAGAAAAAAAAGATTTCTGTTTGCTGGGAGATGAAATTAGACTACCTTGGGGTATTTTGCTTTTCTTGCATGAAGCCTAAGCATTTATGTGAGATTAAAAAAAGGTTGGAGCTGTTTGATAACTTGAGACTGCACAGTAATTTCTTCTCTTGGGCCACTGTAATTACTGTGCAGTTTTCCATTGTCATCAGAGAAATTATTTTACATTTAGAATTAATAGGACACAGTCTTGGGGGCAGATCCCTTAAAGCTTTCTTTTCCTAATAACTTAGATCATTAGGAGTCACATATATTCCATTTCTCAGAAACGTGCAAATAAAAGAAGTCTAAATTCCAAGCTAGAATTCTCTTTCCAGCCTTAGCAGCATCTGCTCTTTCTAATAACTCCACAGGTGGTAGGAAATCCCTTCATCTGCTCAGCACCAATTTCCACGTGTGAAATGAGAGCATCTGAAAGTGCAGCAACAATCAGAAAAATATAGAAACGAAACCCTGGATTTTCTGAGTGTATGGAGCATTTCCAGGATTTTCAGCTCTTACTTTAACAGTTTAGGAATAGAAAGTTTTGCTTATTTTCTTCAGGGCTGTGATTTTTCCCTGTGCTGCAAATTTGGGCATCAGCAGAGAGGAATTGCAGTGAGATTTTTCCCAATCCCCCCTGAGATTTGCTGTCCCCACGTAGGGGACAGGGGGAGCTGGCCCCTGGAATTCCCTCCATTTTGGGCTATTTTGTGGTTTTGTTAAATCCATGACCAACTGATGCCCCTCAGTCTTGAGCAGGTGGGGGTGACAGGTCCAGATGTGGCCAAGCCACCCCTCCCCGTGTGCCTGAACCTGGATATCCATCAAGAATTTCCAGCAGGGGATGCTGAAACCCCTGGGCATGTCCTGCTCCCACACCTCCACCAGTGCAGAATTTAAATCCCTCTAACCCCACATCAAATTCCAAACGTTAAAAAAAGCAAAGAAATCTGTGTTGTGCCTGGAGGAAACAGAGCCTGCTCTCCCCTGAACAAAAAAAAAAGCAACAAAACCGACCCAGCACCTTTTTGATTTGCTTTTTCTCTCCAGAGGAAGGGAAGGGCTGGCTGTGGGAGTCATCTGTGTGTCACATAAATTCAGGCTCCTGGTTCCATCAGCCTAACCAGGGCAGACAGGCTCTCTCTGCTGCCTCTACACCCAGTTAGGGAAACAAAGAAAGGTGGTTTAGTCCAAGCTTTGGCACTTTTAGACAAATACACGTTAATTAAAACGGCCTGGAAAACTGACTCCTGCAAAAACTAGGAGAAGCTTATTTAATTGTTACTTCGGGCCCAAAATGAAACAAATCCCTCTGTCCCCGAAGAATAAAAAATGGAAATGTTCATCTCCTGTCACTTGCTGAGTTTTAACCTCGTCAGAAGTGACTCAGCCCCTGGCTCAGGGATCTGCTCCTCCTGCAGTGTTTATCTGGTATTATTTTATTGCATTGTTACCTTTCATATTTGCTGCTTTCAGATGTATTTTTCTATTTCCATTACATAACAGCACACACTGAAGTTAAACAGCAGGCCACAGCAAAAAGAGATTTAGAGCCAAAGCTCAGCTATTTCCATTCAAAGCTGCTCCCCTCTCCCTGCAGACACCTCAATGAGCTGTGGCCTGGAGAGATCATTCACACCATGAATTAGACTTTGGGAGGAAGTTTGTCACTGGTGAAAATGTTCCACTTACTTTGAAATCACTTTCCTTTTACTGTGAAGTCATTAAAAGTGGTGGGGTCGAACAACCCCCACTCACTGTGGGGAAACCAGGAGCTCTTGGTCTCAGCCCTGTAAGAGGAGTTTGGGAGCATTTTCAGTAATTTCTGCACTTCAGCTGTGCTGGAGAGGTCTCCAGAGAGCTCTTTATTAATGTGAGAGTGTCCCTGTGGCCTCTTCAGACACTGAGGATGGTTCTTCACACACAGAGCTGGCCCTTGGCTCTCTGGAGATGTTCAGGGTGCAGCCTCTTCCTTCCCTGAAGAACAGGAAAAAAAAAAACTCAGCACAAAAGAGTTAATGCCAGAACATCTTTGTACTTCATCTAACAAAGGTCCCGAGGAGCAAAAATCAGTTTTAATACAAGAAAACGGGGTAGGTTTGGGTGTATTTCTGAAAATAATCATTTCTCCTGGTGACAACGCTCATTCTTGTCTCCAGTCACATTTTGTTTTCATGTGGAATTTGTGTATAATTCTATATAGGGCTGAGATTTCCAACCTAAACAGCAAATGTTATAAATAAAGACCATCACAGAAAAAAAAAGAAATGTAGCAGCAAAGTGCTTTAATTTGTATTTGCCAGTTCTGGGAACAATTGCTGTGGGATGAATGCCTGGCTCTTTCTGTCAGGGAAACTTTGCTATTAATTCCTCAGCCTGAGAACAATTCTCCACTTAGCAAAGAGCTTTGGGGTGTTAAATGTGGGCCAGCAGTGTTACAGCAAGCACCCACAAAGGATGGGCCAGCAGAATTGCTGGATTTTTGCTTGGAAGATGGAAACCCATCCCAGAGCCAACCCCAGCCATGGCAAACATCACCTGGAATTTATTAACATCTTACTGCACGATATTATTTGCATTTCTTTCCCTTGCCCAGCCCTCCTCTCCCCTTTTCCATTCACATCACCAGCTGCTTCCACCCCAACGTTTGGGTCCCACAGCAGCTCTGTGTTTGAACCCCTGAGACAAATGGGTTAATTGTGCTTTAATTGGCTCCACAGTGACAGGAGACTGCAAAGAAGCTCTAGAAACCACTGAGACAAAAATAAGGTGGTCCTTACTTTGATGTTAAATTCACTTTATGAGCAGCAATATAGAGGGGAGGCATTTAATTAAATAAAAAGGCTCCTCTAGACATTTTAAACATTTTAATTTGAGCAAATGAAGTGGATAAAATTAGACCCAGTGTAGGAGAACTGGACTGACACATAAACCCCTTGTGCAGTTTAAGAAACAACCTGGAAAATCAAGAGTTCAATATTAAATGTACAGAGTTGTCCAGCACTGAAGGTTCAAACACAAATCACATGGAACATTTATGACTGCAAGGACCAAGCTCTTGGAGGATTTCTTATTTCTGTCTCAGTTTCAGCAGCACTAAGTGAAGGAATATTTAGTGATGAATTAAACATTTGTAAAAAGGAAGGAGTTTAAAATGCAATGCATTAAGAACCGAAGTTGACCATTCCCTTTTCTTGCCCTCTGCCTTCTGAGCTCTCTTATTGGAAAAACACATTTCCATTAATAAAATTAATTTAGTTCACTCTGCCTGTTGAGCAAGAAAAAAGCTTTGTGCAACTCCCAGCTGCAGCTTTGAGATACTGCTGCTCCCCAGTTCTTGGCAACCTCCCCCTTATTAACATGCCTATTTTTATAATATTTCTATACTATTTTTACACTATTTTTGTGGTGTCTCAGTGTCACAGTGCTCCCTGGGTGCCCTGCAGAGGTTTGGTGAGCACTGTTGCATTTGTAACTCCTTTTCTCACATTTCTGATCCTCAGAGCTGCTCGAGTTCATCCCTGAGCACGGAAAGCTGAGCTCGGTGCTGAGATTGTTTGCCAAAAATAAATATCAGCGAGAAGTGAAGAGACATCCACGAGTCCCAGGGCTGCAGGGGAGAAGCAGGGCTCGGTTATTTGCTGTACACAGGGGCAGAGGTGGGCACACATCAGCCAGCCCAGCTCCCTCCCAAATTTTTCCTTCACCAGCTGTCACTGAATCATTTTCCAGGCAAATCCCAGCAAAAATTATGGAAATTGCTTCTCCTACCACAGCACGAAATGCAAAGCCCGTGTTGCCCCATCCAACTGGTAGTGACAACTTTAGCACCCAAAAATAAGTTGTGAAAAAGGAGGGAAAAGGAAGAACCATCTGAGCTGACTTACGTGAGTGCTTTTTCTGGCTTGGAACAGGAATTATCACCAAACCCCCACACTGTGACAGCCAAGGCCACCACAGCCTGCAAAACAAAGCACAGTGACACAGATTGAAGTTCCCTAAAAAAATTCGGGAAGGAAAAAAACGAATGAAATTTTACTCCTGTCCAACAATCAGCCCAGAACTGTGAGAACACAGGAGGAGAGGCAAAGTCCAGACTGCTAAAACTGATAAATAAAAATGGATCAAACAGATTTCCCGTCTTGAACTGAAGCTGTTTGTGGTTTTTTTGGCTGGATGGAGAGGAGTTGGTACCTCCCTCTGCAGCCTGGGGACAGGGGCAGGAAGGGCAGGCACGAAAAGGAGGAACCCAGAAACACGAGGAACAGAACGCTGTCCTCACATCCCATGGGAATTCTCCTCCTCGGGAAAACTGGGCTGGGAAAGCCCTTCCATCCCTTCATCCCCTGCAAGAGCCCAAATGAGGCATGCACGGCTTCAGACTGGCTCTTAAAAATGCTCTTTATTGGATCCAGCAATTTATTTCTTATTTAAAATTCCGTTTATTGTGCCCAGAGGATACAGCAATTCATGGGTGTGTGGCCAGCATCAGCTGTGGGTTTGTCTGAAGCCTCTCTAGTTCTGGTTCCAATTCATTCTACACTTTTCATTGCAGAGCATCTTAAAACATGACAACCAATCAATGCTTTTACTGTTACCTATAGCCCATCATAGCTGCTAACATTGCCATATTCATGTGAGTATTTCCCAGTCACAAAAGGTTAGAGCGTTACAGTTTAAGCTAGAAGTTGTTTTTCAGTTTTCTTGGAGTGGAAAATTTTGAGATCTTTCTTTTTTTACTTGCCACATGGCATTTTTGTTTGCCTGTGAAAATCTTTTTGCTTGGTAAAAACATCTTTTGTTTGAGGTTGGTTTATCTTTTGCTCTGAGTCATAAAAACCCTTTCTAACTCATCTTACCCTTTGGCTTCTTAGTTACCCAGTCAGATAATTCTTTTCTTCTATATCAAAACTTGCTCTCACTTCTATTCTTTCCTTACATTCTACATTCAAATACCTTTCTGTTATACATATATACACATATATATATACACACACACATATATATACATATATCTATATACACATATATATACATACATATATATATATATACATATCTCTGTGAGGCCTTCCTGTCCAATCCTTATTTTTTCCAGCACTCCCCATCCATCCATCATCCATTCCCTCCCTTCCATCAGCAGCAGGACACTGAGCCCGACCCAGCCCAGCCCAGCCTAGCAAATCCCGGCTCAGGTGAGCAGCAGGGAAAGCCCCATGCCCATCCTGCAGGGATTAATTCACTTTACAAGCTGAAATCCCCTGCCTTTATCTGCTGTTTACAGCCCTGATGAGCTGGATTAGCTGAGTGCAAGCCGTGCCTACAACAGCTGCTTTTCACCTAGGATTAGCATAAAAATCAATCAGCCCCCACTTCTGGAGCCAGCAAACTCCAACTGGGAGAGCTCCAACGAAAACAACATCCAGGTGGAAAATGTGAAAGTTTTCTGGAGCCAAGGAACACAAGTCCAGGTTGGATATTACCTGCTGCAGACGTGTGCTTGCACTTGTTTAAAATCCACCATTTAGGGCTTGTTCCAGGACTGAAATGAGGCAAAGCTGATGTTATTTGATTAACTTGTGGCTTGATTTTTAATTGCTGCACGCTTTTAAACACATTCAGCTTTCCAGTGTCTCACCAGAGATGATATTTACCACTACAAGCTGCTTTTTTTTGCCGTGATAGCTTCTGGAAAAATACACTTCATTAGCGGTTAGGAACATCTCATTAAAACCCACAAAAAGGGTCTCAGCAACATCCTCACAGACATTTCAGAGTCATTTCAAATCATTGATTTGGGCTTTTCTTTATGGTCAATGTCAGGGTTGAAATAAAGGGAAGAATATCATCAATAATCCAGTAATTAATATATTTACTGCTATGTAAAGCAGCCAGGTGGATGATCATTTACAAGACACATTAATACAAATTCCAGGGTCAAAATATTCTATTCTTCTATGCAACCAGTTACTATTACATGCACTTCTTTTCCAAAATAACCAGAATTATGGACTTACCTCAGTTACTCACATTAACCACCATAAAGAGAATGATGTATTTGTTTACAACAACTACCCTTCAGGATCAGATTTGTACCCCAAAAACCAGTATAAATTGTGATATAACCACACACCACAGCCTCCAGAGGGGAAAAAAATTTACTGTGCAATCCTAAATTTAGTAGTTCCTTCTTAAACAGTGAAACCTTCAGAAGTGTGGGTCAGTCTCCCCAAAATTCTCAGTTAAATATCACTAAAAAAAAAATCAGCTTTCAGGCATTTCAGAGCAGAAACTCCACTCCTGCAGCTGTTCCCTGACCAGACTTAAGAGGACAAAAATAACTTGTGGAAGGGACAAGTGCTGAAGCACATGGGTGGCACAGCTGTGAGCTCATCAAATTTTAAAAGTGATTTGAATCAGACACTGAAACTCCTGTCTGCAGTTAATTCCACTGCTTATGTGCAGCCACAGAATGGTGAGATGGACTTGGATTTTTCTCTTTTGCAGGCAGGCTGGCTCACAGCAGCAAAGGAGAGCAAATCCAGGCTGAGGGTAATTAGCCATGTGCTAAATGAGGTTTTGTAGGAACTCTTTGGTGCTCTTTGCTGTCTGATTTTTTTTTATTTTTTTTTTTTTTTTGCATTAAAAGGAGCACGGCTCGCCCAGGGAAGGTCTGGAATAACAGGAATTTTATTCCTGCTTCAGCTTCTGCAGGGCTGCAGGCAGGGAGGAGGAGCACGAGGGGATCCCTCACCCCTGTGAGATGAAAATAAATGAAAATGCAAATGGAAATGTCCTTGGGGTGGGAGCAGAGCCCTGCAGGGCTGTGCCCTCCTGCTGGTGAGATGTGTCCAGAGCCCGGGGAGGCCAGCAGGGAGCAGGGAAACTGCTCCCATCTCCCACATCTGTCAGCCCCATCCTCGGATTTCCTCAGAACTGCTTCCCACTGCCAGAGGGCAGGGCTGGATGGGATTTTGGGCAGGAATTGTTCCCTGGCAGGGTGGGCAGGGCTGGCACAGGGTGCCCAGAGCAGCTGGGGATGCCCCTGGATCCCTGGCAGTGCCCAAGGCCAGGTTGGACATTGGGGTTTGGAGCAGCCTGGGAATTTTCCTGACCCCCCTGAAATGTCCCCTCAGCTCCCACAGGGATCTTTTCCTGGCAGCTCCCACAACAAAATAAACCAACCCAAGGAAAGCCTCGAGGAGCAGCTGCTGGGGTTGTTACCAATCCATTCCCCCTTCCATAACTCAAACCTAAATCATTTTTCCAACGGCCAAATTCCTCTTTTGAGCCTCCATTTGAAGGAGCAACAAGAGATTTGGTTCATTTTTTGGTCAAATTGCATCCATCACATTTCAGCAGCTCCGAGGCCAGGTTGGACATCGGGGTTTGGAACAACCCAGGGACAGTGGAAGGTGTCCCTGCCATGGCAGGGGTGGCACTGGGAGATCCTAAATGTCCCTTCCCACCCGAGGCAGTCCCAGTTCTCTCTTCCTCCCCTCCCTGTAGGTGCAGGACGATCCCAGGCAGAGCAGAGGCTGTGCCAGGTCACTGTGCCCAGGGGGACAAAGCCAAAACCCAGAGTTCAGTAATGACTCTGCCATGGCTTTGCTCACTCAGCTCCTCCTGCCACTGCACACGCTCCTTCCAGAGCTAATTGAGCTGGAGGTGTTTCATTTACTCTGCCTTTAGCAGTGATATAAAACTGCTGCAGATTTTGCCAATATCCATTAATGTGAATAACTTCAGAGCTCATTTTTGTCTCAGATATCCGGATTGATTTCTGAACACAAACCCACCAGCTGACAGCACTTAATAGCTATTGCTTCTTCCTTTTTTTTCCCCCCACCATTTTAAAAAAATAAAAAAATTCCTTGCTTTATTTTTAAAGCTGGAACTTAAAGGAATCTCAGAGCATTTCAAAATCGTTTCGTTGTCCACCATCAGCAGCCACTACATTTCATTTATTTATTCATCTCCTCACTGTCAAACAAATGCACCTTCACAGTTTCCTGCATTTATAAGGATAAATTTAAAATTATTTCCTCAGTTTTCCACGTGGCTTTTCTCATGGTTAATTTGTTCAGACTTTCAGACAAAAACACCTGAATTTATCTCCTCTGGCCAGGTGGAAGGTACTTATCCAACTATGCATAAAATAAACAAACATACCCATTACTGCCTGAGAAAAAATGTTCTTTATAACACAACTTCTAAACCGCTGAAGATGCTTGAAAAAAGACTTTAAAAAAAAAAAAAAAGTGATGTTTTTGTAGTGTGACAGGATGACCTTTGATATCATCTGATACTGTTTCTAGTGAAAATGGCCTGAATACCATCCCAGGATCACTGAGGTTGGGAAAAACCTCAAAGAGCATCGAGCAAAAATCCCCTATGATTTAATGCTACTATTTAATTGCATTAAGATTATTTCTTAAAACCTTAACAAAACAGATTTAATACAGATGTTAAAGGAAACTGCAGCAGGGATATAATTGAGGGCTGTTACCCAGAGAAGCTTCAGCAGCAGAGGGTTATGGTGGTTTTTAGTGCCTTATTAAAACAGCACAGAAATGAACATTTTCAGGGACATCTTGTCACATCAATAATTGGACCATTACTTTCATACATTGTACACTATATAAAATGTTAATAAACCTTCTAAACCAGCTCTATGTTATAGAAACATATTTTATATTCCATAAAATATTTGGAAGGTCAGGGGAAGCACCTGGGGACCAGGAAAGGATATCACAACTGTCATAAAACAAATCAAAATGTGACCCTACACAGAGCAGGGGCTCAGGGTGGGCTCAGCCCAGAATTTTCACTCATTATTCAATCAGAACATCATTTCTCACCAGATAACATCTATCAGATAAGATACACGAGCCCCAGACAGGCCCAAAATATGTGCTGTGGATTTCTGGAGTAGCCAAAGAGCAAAACAATTCAAAGTTTGGGCTGGTTCTTGTTTGAAAGTGAAA